CGCGGCTCACGAGGCTAATCCTCCGCTTGCGGTGCTGGCACACCGGGTTCTAGTCCCGGTTGGGGCGCCGGATTCTGTCCCGGTTGCCCCTCTTCCAGTCCAGCTCTCTGCTGTGGCCTGGGAAGGCAGTGGAGGATGGCCCAAGTGCTTGGGCCCTGCACCCGCATGGGAGACCAGGAGAAGCACCTGGCTCCTAGCTTCGGATCAGCGCGGTGCGCCAGCCGAAGTGCGCCAGCTGCAGCGGCCAGTGGGGGGTGAACCAACGGCAAAGGAAGACCTTTCTCTCTGTCTCTCTCTCACTGTCCACTCTGCCTGTAAAAAAATAAAATAAAATAAAATAAATTAAAATAAAGGGAGCAGCAAGTGCAGAGTAGGGTGGCCTCCAAATCGCTGGGGCATAAAAACAGTGGCAGCTTCAGCCTGAGAGTCGGATGCACGAGGAAGAAACATGAAGGTGGAGAAAAGACATTTGGGAAAAGATTCTGTTTCTCTGAAGATTGTTCCCAGACCACCCAGATCAGAATCCCCTGCAGAAAATTGAATATGGAGATGAGCCCAAACATCTGCTTTTACGGAAGCTTCCCAGGTGATTCTTATGCAAAGTAATAGTCCAGCAACCACTACAGGCCTTTGCGTTGTGGCACGGAGGGCTAAGCCTCTGCTTGCATATCTGGCATCCCATATGAATGCTGGCATCCCCCAGCAGAGTCCAGGCTGCTCCACTTCCCAGCCAGCTCCCAGCTAATGGCCTGGGAAAGCAGCAGAGGGTGGCCCAAGTCTTTGGACCCCTGCCACCCAAGTGGGAGACCAGGATGGAGTTCCTGACTCCTGGCTTCAGGCTGGCTGAACCCTGACCATCCCAGACATTTGGGGAGTGAACCAGCAGATGGAAGATCTGTTTCTGTCTGTAACTCTGCCTATCAAATAAATAATTATTTGAAAAATAAAAAATTATTTGAAAGACAGAGTCACAGAGAGAGGTAGAGATATAGAGAGAGGTCTTCCATCTGCTGGTTCTTCCATCTGCTGGTTCACTTCCCAGATGAATGCAACGGCCGGAGCTGCGCCGATCCTAAGTCAGGAGCTTCTTCCAGGTCTCCAATGTGGGTGCAGGGGCCCAAAGACTTGGGCCATCTTCTACTGCTTTCCTAGGCCATAGCAGAGAGCTGGACTGGAAGAGGAGCAGCCGGGACTGGAACCAGTGCTCATATGGGATGCCAGTGCTGCAGGCGGTGGCTTTACCTGGTATGCCACAGTGCTGACCCCAGTAGTTTGTTTTTAAGATTTATTTGAGTCCCAGCTGTTCCACTTCTGATCAAGCTCTCTGTTATGGCCTGGGAAAACAGTAGAAGATGGCCCAACTACTTGGGCCCCTGCACCCACATTGGAGACCTGGAGGAAGCTTCTGGCTTCTGGCTTCGGATTGTCCCAGCCCTGGCCATTGTGGCCATTTGGGGACTGAACTAGCAGATGGAAGACCTCTCATTCTCTCTGCCTCTGCCTCTCTGTAACTCTACCTTTCAAATAAATAAATATTTATAATATTTGCATATAACCTACACACACAGGCCATCTGCTTTGAATGACCTCCAGATTTACTTATATCTAATAGCTACTATTCTGTATCATTTAGGGAACAGTGATGTTCAGCTTAGAATTTTGTTTCAAACATTGCTGACCCCTGGTTGGTTACATTCCTGCATGGGGATCCCACAGATGCAGAGAGCTGACAAGCTGTTGATTGTCATTAAGTAGTGGAATTTGGAGATTGGATTAAAGGATTTGTTTGAGAAAGGTGAATTTTTTTTTAAAAGATTTACTTATTTTAAAGAGTTACAGAGAGAGGGGGAAAAGAGAGAGAGAAGAAAGAGAGAGAGAGAGAGAGAGAGATTTTCTACCTGCTGGTTCACTCCCTAGATGGCCACAAGGGCCAGGGCTGGGTCAAACAGAAGCCCGAGCCAGGAGCTTCATCCAGGTCTCCATGTAAGTGCAGGGGCCTGAGGACTTGAGCCATCTTCTGCTGCTTTTCCCAGGCCATTAGCAGGGAACCAGATCGGAAGTGGAGCAGCATGAACAGGTGATGCCTGGAGCTTAACCTGCGAAACCACGGCCCACGGCCCACATCCCATGGCCCCAAAGTAGTCTTTCTTTTAAAAAAAAAAATTTTTTTTTTATTTATTTGAAAGCGATAGAGAGAGAGAGAGAGAGAGAGAGAGAGGTCTTTGTTCATTCCCCAAATGGCCGCTACAGTCAGAGCTGAGCCTATCTGAAGCCAAGAGCCAGGAGCCAGGAGCCAGGAGCCAGGCGCTTGCTCTGGGTCTCTCAGTGGGTGCCGACACTGCAGGCCAGGGCTTTAACCTGCTGTGCCACAGCACTGGCCCTGCAAGGTGAAGTCTTGAAGAGGCTGGGATGCCCCGAGTTTCCCTTTTTGCTGTGCTGTCGGCTCTTCCTGGACCTTGTCCATTTTAGCCAAGCCTCTCCTTCCCATCTCACTGCTAAGATTCCGCACCACTTCCTTTGCTCTTTAAAGGAAAGGACGGAGAGACTTTTCAAAGTCATGTGTAAGCCACTGCTTGTTTTTCCACCCTGTTTCTACCCTTCAAGCTCTTTGAAGGTTACATTTCGAGCCCAAGTACATAACTTCAGGTTTCAGAAGGTGGAGGGTTCAAGGAGGAAAGGAAAAATGTTGAACTTGTCAATTTTTGGACATCAGTATTGAGATTTAAAAATTTCTTTGTGATGCCAAACTTACGCAACTTAGGCATCTGCAAATCTTTATTATATGTTAATTCCTTGGAAAATGGACTCCTTTTGTTCATCTAAAAAGCTAATCACTGACTAAAAATTCACCTTTTTTCACTGGGGGAATCCTTCAAAAATTCCCACTTGCAAGAAAATCTCCCTCCTCATCCCTTCCCTCCAGGGATGAGTCAATTCAGGCTTCAAAATGCAGGCTGCCTTATGGCAGCCACCTGCAGCGCCAGCACCCTGCATGGGCACCTGCTCCAGCCCCAGCTGCTCCTCTTCTGATCCAGCGCCCCGCTGACGGCCTGGGAAAAGCAAGGGATGGCCCAGGTCCCCTGGCCAGGAAGAGGAGACAAGGGATGGCCCGGGTTCCCTGGCCCGGGAGAGGCGACAAGGGATGGCCCGGGTCCCCTGGCCCAGGAGAGGGGACAAGGGATGGCCGGGTCCTCTGGCCCAGGAGAGGCGACAAGGGATGGCCGGGTCCCCTGGTCCGGGAGAGGCGACAAGGCATGGCCCGGGTCCCCTGGTCCGGGAGAGGCGACAAGGGATGGCCCGGGTCCCCTGGTCCGGGAGAGGCGACAAGGGATGGCCGGGTCCCCTGGTCCGGGAGAGGCGACAAGGGATGGCCCAGGTCCTCTGGCCTGGGAGAGGTGACAAGGGATGGCCCAGGTCCCCTGGCCGGGGAGAGGCGACAAGGGATGGCCCGGGTCCCCTGGTCCGGGAGAGGCGACAAGGGATGGCCGGGTCCTCTGGCCCAGGAGAGGCGACAGGGGATGGCCCGGGTCCCCTGGTCCGGGAGAGGCGACAAGGGATGGCCGGGTCCCCTGGCCCAGGAGAGGCGACAAGGGATGGCCAGGTCCCCTGGCCGGGGAGAGGCGACAAGGGATGGCCGGGTCCCCTGGCCCAGGAGAGGCGACAAGGGATGGCCGGGTCCCCTGGCCCAGGAGAGGCGACAAGGGATGGCCCGGGTCCCCTGGCCCAGGAGAGGCGACAAGGGATGGCCCGGGCCCCCCGGCCCGGGAGAGGTGACAGGGGATGGCCCGGGAGAGGCGACAGGGGATGGCCCGGGTCCCCTGGCCAGGAAGAGGAGACAAGGGATGGCCCGGGTCCCCTGGTCCGGGAGAGGCGACAAGGGATGGCCCGGGTCCCCTGGTCCGGGAGAGGCGACAAGGGATGGTCGGGTCCCCTGGTCCGGGAGAGGCGACAGGGGATGGCCCGGGTCCCCTGGCCAGGAAGAGGAGACAAGGGATGGCCGGGTCCCCTGGTCCGGGAGAGGCGACAAGGGATGGGCCGGGTCCCCTGGCCGGGGAGAGGCGACAAGGGATGGCCCGGGTCCCCTGGCCAGGAAGAGGAGACAAGGGATGGCCCAGGTCCCCTGGCCCGGGAGAGGCGACAAGGGATGGCCGGGTCCCCTGGCCAGGAAGAGGCGACAAGGGATGGCCGGGTCCCCTGGCCCGGGAGAGGCGACAAGGGATGGCCGGGTCCCCTGGCCAGGAAGAGGAGACAAGGGATGGCCCAGGTCCCCTGGCCCGGGAGAGGCGACAAGGGATGGCCGGGTCCCCTGGCCGGGGAGAGGCGATGCCCAGGTTCCCGGGCCCCTGCACCCCGTGCGAGACTCGGAGTAAGCTCCTGGCTCCCGGCTTCGGTCGGGGCATTGTGGCCTTTGGGGAGTGAACCAGCGGACGGAAGATCTCTTTCTCCCTCCGTCTCCCTCTGACTTTCACAGACATAAATCTTAAAACCACCACCCACAGCCTCCATGCTGCCTCCCCAGCAGCGCTTTCACACAGCGTCTTTTTACTCTTTCCTTACTCGTGCTTCGCTACCGCCATTTCAACCCGCTCCAGCCTCCCTGGAGCCGCCCACCACACAGGCTCCTCCCCCAAGACGCCTCATCGGAGCGAAGCCCGAGTTTCCTACTCAGTTACGCGGAGGAGTAGAGAACGCGCAGCCCCGCCCCGTGGGAGGAGCTAACACCAGCGGGCCCAATTAGGCGTCCGGTCGTTAACAAACGGACCCTTCATCTTGCCAGAGCAGAGAAACACACGCAGACGCCCAATCAGAGGCCGTGATTCTAGGGCTCGGGGCGGGGCCGGGCAGGCTCCGCCCACCACGTCCCGGCCTCCCGCCGCGGCCCGCGAGCCTCGCGGGCCCCCAGGCCCCGCCCCCTGGCCAGGCGCGGCGGCGATTGGGCGGCGCGCTGCCCGTCGTCGCCGCAGTTGCCGGGAGAGGGCGGGCCCCGCGGCCGGGGAGAAAGGCGGGCTGGGCGGGTTCGGCGAGCGCCGCGGCGGTTGGCGACGCGGCCGCGGAGCAGCCTCGGCGGCGTGAGGCGCGGCGCCCGCTGACAGAGCCCCCTCTTCCGGCCGCGCCGCCGGGAGGCGGGTCCCCGGGGCCCGCGGCGGCGTCCTCCGGCCCGCTCTCCCTGCCGGCGCGTCGAGCGAGCGGCCTCGAGGAGGCGGAGGCCGGGGCGGCGGGCGGAGGCGCGCGCCCCCCTCCGCGGCCGCCGCGGCGGGAGGACAATGGAGGTGGCTGTGGAGAAGGCGGCGGCGGCCGCGCCGGCGGCCGGCGGCGGGGAGAACGAGGCCGAGAGCCGGCAGGGCCCGGACTCGGAGCGCGGCGGCGAGGCGGCCCGGCTCAACCTGTTGGACACTTGCGCCGTGTGCCGCCAGAACATCCAGAGCCGGGCGCCCAAGCTGCTGCCCTGCCTGCACTCGTTCTGCCAGCGCTGCCTGCCGGCGCCGCAGCGCTACCTCATGCTGCCCGCGCCCATGCTGGGCTCGGCCGAGACCCCGCCGCCCGTCAGCGGCGCGTCGCCGTTCGCCACGCAAGGTGAGGCCGCGGGGGCGGCGGCGCCCCGCTGTCAGGGCGCCGCGCGGGGCGGGGGTCGCTGGGCCGGGGCGGGGGTCCTGGCGCCTGGCGGGGGGCGGCGCGCCGGAGCTGGGGCTGGGGGCCCTGGGGCCCGGCGGGGGGCGGCGGCGGCTCGGGGGCCCTGGGGCCCGGCGGGGGGCGCTGGGCCGGGGCTGGGGGTCCTGGGGCCTGGCGGGGGTCGCCGCGCCGGGGCTGGGGGCCCTGGGGCCTGGCGCTCGCCCGCGTCTGCCCGGCCCCGGCCCCCGTGCGCTCCCCGGCGGCCCGCGCTTGGTCGGCCGCATCTGGTGCACGGCTGCCCGCTGCTAGCGCACAGCTTTGTCCGGGTCCATCTGATCCCAATCAGCGCGGGTGTACGCGCGTTATTTGAGCTGCGGGAGGGGGAGGACGAAGATCCAGTGATGGAGACTTGGTTTGATGATTGATTGCAGACTGCAGGCCGTCTGTTTCCTACCGCGCCTGTTTGGGGTTCTTTACCTTAACGAGTCCCCAGTCCTCTCGCCCCTCTCCTGGGGACAAAGGAGCCGAGACGGCGTTTTGCTGTCTCTTGCGAAGGCTGTGCAAGTGCTGATGAGAAATAGAAAGTGAATTTTGAGTCCGGGATTTTCTTGTGTGTAAGTTACTCCTCTTCGTGGTGTTCCTTACCGTGTTTGGTGACTTTGACAGGTAGCTCCCATCGCTGTCCTTAACAGGTTAGAAACGTTAAAAGTCGGCTAAAGTACGCATGGGATTGAGGTCTTTAAATTTTAATGCTGCAGATATTTGAGCTCCTCCTTTTCAAAAACAGTAACTGAAACAGGGAAATAATTTTTAATTCATACTTTTTTAGAGGGAACAGTTGATTTAATTAGAGATAGGATGCTAATTAAATGCACTAGACCAGGGGTGTATGACATTGATGCCTTACAGAGATTGTGGTCTTAGGTTTAGTCAGCTGTGTGTTGGGACAGTGTCTGTAGGGGACAGTTTTCCATGGCTTGCTCTGTGCACTCTTTGTTTATTCAAGGGTGCTGTGTAAGGCGCAGCCTTGAAGGAGGAGGTGGTGTGTATCAGAGCAGAGGGCAGGCCTGCCCGTGTCCAGTGTGACAGTGTCTTCCTCTGCAGCCCGTCACGAAGATGAGGGCTCCCCTCCTGTAACCCAGCTCACTGCCCGTGTAGGTGTCAGGTAGCTTCCTCAGGTGCCTTGTGGGAACTGGAACTCTGCGAACAATTGCAAAAATGTTGATGCCGCTTGTGCGGGGAAGGTGGTTAACCGCCCTTTGTCTCTGGCCCTTGAATCCACGAAGCTGGCCACTGAGCTGCAGTTCTTCAGAGCGGCCCACCTGTTGGACCATTAATGCAGGTGGCAGTTAAGTCTTATTTCTAATTTCTTACATTTTAAAGTTTCTTACAATGCTCCTTTCGTATCTGTGGAGGAATTGGTGCCTAGATCCCTCTAGATAAAAATGTTCAAATTGTTCCTTCCGTAAGATGATGTAGTAGAATTTGTGTATAAACTATACATATACACACAGCCCCCTGTATACTTTCAATCGTTTCTAGATTGTTTACAATTCTGGTACCATGCAAGTGCTGTGTAAGTAGTTATTATAATCTATTGTTTAGGGAGTAATGACGAGTAAGACTGTATATGTTCAATACAATTTTTTCCTGAGTATTTTCCATGAGGTTAGTTGAATCCACAGATTCAGAGAGCTGACTTATTTTTTAACTATAGTAGCCAACTAAGATCTGACTTTGCATAATTCTAAACAAAATTTATTGTGTTCTTGTCTGTTATACTTGGACTTGAATGAATGAAAAAAGGAATTATAAAGCTCTGAGAAAACTTAGGAATTTCAGACTTGTCAAAATGTGTCATTCTAGTCTCCAAATTTTTTGTACTGTAAAGCGTTTAAAGGAACCATTTAGATTGCAAGATAAGGTCTCTTGCTAAGTATAAAAAATGAAGAAATTCTACTTATAAATGCACTTCTATTTTTTATTTTTTATTTATTTATTTATTTTTTTATTTTTGATAGGCAGAGTGGACAGTGAGAGAGAGAGACAGAGAGAGAAAGGTCTTCCTTTGCCGTTGGTTCACCCTCCAATGGCCGCCGCTGCAGCTGGCGCACCGCGCTGATCCGATGGCAAGAGCCAGGATCCAGGTGCTTTTCCTGGTCTCCCATGGGGTGCAGGGCCCAAGCACCTGGGCCATCCTCTACTGCACTCCCTGGCCATAGCAGAGAGCTGGCCTGGAAGAGGGGCAACCGGGACAGAATCCGGTGCCCCAACCGGGACTAGAACCTGGTGTGCCGGCGCCGCAAGGTGGAGGATTAGCCTATTGAGATAAATGCACTTCTAAAAATTGGTTATCTTTTATACGTTGGAGATCCTATCCTGAATCTTGTTGACTTATTTTCTCCTTTAACCTCTCTTGTTTTAACACTAGCCAAACTAAGTTTATTTTGACAGTACTTTCCTAAGTTAATAAAAGGTTCATTTGATCAGCTCCATTCTTTTTTCATTCTAATAAATTTGTAAGTGTAGGCGTCCTGTGTTGAATGTGTCTACAGGGATAAGCAGGTAATTGGGAATGGTGGGGAGAGAGAGTGGGGACCAAACTCCACTTAGCTTTTTTAACTTTTCCTGAAAGTTTTTATTTATTTGAAAGAGTTACAGCAAGAGGTAGAGACAGAGAGGTCTTCCGTCTGCTGGTTCACTCCCCAATGGCCGCAGCAGCTGGAGCTGAGCCCGTCTGAAGCCAGGAACTTCTCCCCGGTCTTCCACGCAGGTGTAAGGGCCCATCGTTCACTGCTTTCTCAGGTGCATATGTAGCAGGGAGTTGGACTAGAAGCCGAGCAGCTGGGGCTGCACCGCGGCTTTACCCGCTACACCACAGCTGGCCCTCTGCTTAGCTCTTGACAGTTCTGTAGCTTCTTGTGAAGGGTGCAGAGCAAGTGTTGAGGTGCCTTACTACTTAAGTGTTGAGTCTGAGCTCTGGGTTTTTGTGTAAAGTCTTTCTAGTATTCAGTGTTGGCATGTAATTGTTTATGTATGTATACTTACATGTATGTATGTGTGTGTGCGCATACTGTAGTTAAAACAGGTTTGTTGAGGTCAAATCTGTTGCATTTTGTGCTGTTCTGTTGTAATTTAGACGGTGGTGTTATACTAGCACTACGAAAATCACTTGATCTTATTAAAAATTTAGATTTCTAGGTCCCTCCCTCCAGAGAGTCTGATTCTACCTAATCTTGCATAGTTTCTTGATTCTATAATATAATATTAAGCCCTAGAACTGCTTTAAGCTCAGGCAGTATTATATTCCAAAATGCGGTTGGTTGTAATTGTATTCAGAAAATTGAGAATTCAAAGTTTGGAATGGTTTTCAGCACTACCAGAACCAGTTTCCTTTTCCATAAAAATGTTTTTTGTGTACCTTTTGTTATCCTAAATAAAATTCAAGTAAAATAATCCTTCCTAGCACATACTTTCCTTAGACAAGTCAGCATCATACTTTTTCATAAAAAGGAATAGGGATGGGAGTTGTGGGGCAGTGGGTTAAACTGCTGCTTGCAACTCCGGCATGCCTTAGAGTGGCAGTTCAGGTTCCAGCTCCCTGCTAATGTGCCTGGGAAAGCAGTGGAAAATGGCCCAAGTGCTTGGACCCCTGCCATCCATGCCGGAGACCCAGATGGCTTTCTGGGCTCCTGACTTCAGCCTGACCCAGCCCTGGCCATTGGAGCCATGAATCAACAGATGGAAGATCTGTTTCTGTGTCTCTCCCTCTCTCTCTGTCACTTTGCCTTTCAAATGAATTTTTTTTTTTAAAAAGCTAATGTATTATTACAGCAGAAAAAGTATACTTTATACAAATGCTTGGACAGTCTCGTTAGCCACCAAGCCCCATTGGTGAATGCTGTCTACAGCTTGGTCTAAGCTGCCCTCCTACGGTTGTGTGTGGCAGCCAGGCAGCACACCTCATGTCGGATTCCTGTCTCAGTCTTGGCTGCCATTCTCACTTCCTTAGCGCACGGTTGCATCTAGGAAAGAGGCAAGAGCTCTAAAAAAATGTATTTTCTTTGGGTGTATTACATCAGAAGACAAACTGATCTTGGAGAAATGTTAGAACATTATTGTATTTTGTGGTATGGGCATACTATTCAGCCAAAGGGTAGCAAACTGTTAAGTAACAATTTTCTTTAAAGATGTGTGTGTATGTGTGTGTGTGTGTGTGTATATATATATATATATAATTTTTTTTTTTTTTTTGGACAGGCAGAGTTAGAGACAGAAAGGTCTTCCTTTTTCCATTGGTTCACCCCCCAAGTGGCCGCTACGGCTGGTGCATTGCGGCCAGCGCGCTGCGCCGATCTAAAGCTAGGAGCCAGGTGCTTCCTCCTCGTCTCCCATGTGGGTGCAGGGCCCAAGAACCTGGGCCATCCTCCAGTGCACTCCTGGGCCACAGCAAGAGCTGGCCTGGAAGAGGGGCAACTGGGACAGAATCCGGCGCCCCGACCGGGACTAGAACCCGGGGTGCCGGTGCCGCAGGCGGAGGATTAGGCTAGTGAGCCACGGCGCTGGCCTAAAGATGTATATATATATTTGGAAGGCAGAGTTACAGAGAGAGCTAGACAGATCTTCCATCAGCTGGTTCGCTCCCCCAGTGGCTGCAACAGCCTGGGCTGGGCCAGACTGAAGCCAAGTGCTTTTTCGAGTTCTCTCACGTGAGTACGGGGTCCCAATTACTTGGGCCATCCTGTTACTTTTCCCAGGAGGTTAGCAGGGAGATGGATCAGAAGTGGAGCAGCCGGGACATGAACCAGCACCAAATGCTGGCGTTGCAGATGGTGGCTTAACCCACAGTGCCAAATTGCTGGCCTCTTAGAGAACAGTTTTAGAATACTGAGAGCCTGCTTTTCTAATTGTTTTCTATTTGTCCAGAGTGGATAAAACACTAGGCCGGCGCCGCGGCTCACTAG